TAGTGGTAAATACTTTACTTTATTCCAGCTTTTTACATATTTTAAAATTTATAAATGTTATTTTTATTTTTATTTCCAATCTGAAAGGCCAATCAGGGATTGCTAGCTATGCAGCCAGCTCTATTTTGAAAAAACTTGTAGAGCTTGGGATTGGAGAATTAAGTTGAATAATAATAAAAAAACATATATCTCTTTATTTTTTAAAGATTTATTTTATTTATTTATGCATACAAGAGCTGAAGTGTAGGCCACAGGTACGGGGGCAGTGAGAGGATTCACCAGAGACAGAGAGTCAGGAGCAGAACAAGCAGACTGACTAAAATACAATGCTGAAGGGAGCAGCGGGTGAGACAGGAGAGGTCTGCTGCACAATGTGGGTTAGCTGCCTGGCCAGATCAATCTTGTGCTGCAGTGGCTGCCTATAGCTTCATAGTGCTGAGATTTAACCCCTTGCACCACCAGGGAGGCCCCCCAAAAAGAAATCTTTAGAAATAAAATATAATAATATTCTTTATGCTGAGTTAGAAATGTGCTGAAGTTTGTCTTTGACCTCAGTATTCAGACAAAACCATTGTTTGTTCTTGACTTCATTTCCTGCTTATAGAAATCTAAATAGCCCTATGCCTCCTTCAGCACCATTTCTGACATCCTTGATCTTATGCTTAATCTGCAATCATATGCTTGCATACAAAATGTTGTATCTAATCAGGATACCAGCACCAGCAATATGAACAGTGCATATCATCATAGTACTGTTAGCCATCATAGTATTGTTACCATCATAGTACTCCCTGTCAAATACCAGTAGGTTTTCAATTTATAAGTTGGAAGGAATTTCACATACTGAAACTCCATCAGTGAGTTGAAGTTTAAGTGTCCATTTATTATTGCAAAAATAAAACTTTGCAGGGCCTCCCTGGTGGCACAAGGGGTTAAGCATAGCACTATGAAGTTATCTGCAGCCTCTGCAGCACGAGTTCAGTCCCCAGACCAGCCAGGGAGCTGACCCACATGGTGCAGCAGACTCTCCTGTCTCGTCTGCTATTACCCTCAGCAGTGTATTTCAGTCAGTATGCCTGTTCTGTTTCCCACTCTGTCTCTGGTGAATCCTTTCACCCCCCACACCTCTGGCCTGTACCCCAGTTCTTGTATGCATAAATAAATAAATTTTTAAAAAATTAAATAAAACTTTGCAAAGTTACCTCTGAATGATGTTCATTTTCAGTATGTAACTTATAAGTGATTGAGTACATGGGAAAAGATTGAATTATTGGGTTAGTTATTGAGAAAAATGTAAACAAAATAGAAAAATGGAGATCAAATCACTAATTAATTTTATTGATTAATTAATTTTATTAATCTAATTGATTTTATTAATTGGGTTGTTAATTATAATTATAATTGTTGTAAAGTTACTTACTGAACTAACATGCATACATTAATTCTATTTAGGCCATTTATCTTTTTTTTTTTACTTCTATTAAGCATTTATTTATTTTAATGAGAGACTAATAGCAGAATGTCAACTTAAGTTTCATAATGAGATAACCTGAGAAATTATTTTTTTAAAAGGTTTATTTATTTATTTATTTATTTATAGAAGCACTGGGTACAGTCAGAAGCACGGGAGGGTGAGAGAATTCACCAGAGCCAGAGCAGGGAGCAGAGCAGGCAGACTGACGAAATACACTGCTGAGAGGAGCAGTGGGCAACAGGAGAGGTCTGCGCGCCTTGTGGGACCCTCACCTGGTGGCCGGGAATTGAACCTGCGCTGCAAAGGCTGCAGGCAGCCTCACAACCGAGCGCTCAACCGCTGTGCCACCGGGGAGGCCCAGAAATTATTTTTGTAGACTAAAAATTTAGTTCTAAAATCATAGTAGAAACATTTTGATAGTAGATGTATTCCTGTATCCCAGAAGTCCCTTCTTTGGTGGAAATATTTGCCACTGTGCTTGGTTTCACCCAATATATGTATTTACTTCCTGTAAATCAGTTATGGACCAAATGTATATTCAGTGCACCTTTCTTTGAAAAATACCTTTTAACAATGGACATGAATCTTGCAGGGTATAGTAAGCCTGTAGTCAACTATAAATCCATAATATGGTAGGCTTGGCAAATCACAAATGAACACACAGATCTGTAAGAGACACCCCAGAAACTACAATGATTGTCTCTGGAGAGGAGAATGAGCACCCAGAGGTCAGGGCTGATAGAAAATTTAATTTTGTGGTGTATACCCTTCTCTGTGATTCAGTTTTGTTGACCACATGTGTGAACTATCTTTTCAAAATGTAAAATTTCAAATGAAAAGTGAAAATTACGTGGTAGTATTTCAGTAATTCAAATTATTAAATATCAAATTGGCACAACAATATATAAAAATGATGAAAATATACTTCTGCCATAATTTTTATTACTTTACATGATAAGATACCCTGGAAAATAAGCAAAGTACTATCAAATAAGTTAATTAGAAATTCACAGTAGACTTACTTTGTATCATAATTCATAAAAATATTTAATATTGAAAATTAATAACTGGACTTAGAAAATGGAAGAGCACTAAAAATCTTTTGGTTTTGAGTTTGAAAAAACTGCTAATGTAATTTTTAATAATAAGTAAACTGACATATTTTAGCATTGTGTGCCTTAGGTAAAATCTAGATGTGAACATCAAATTTTAATTAACATAGTACAGTACTTGGTTCCACATAGTTATTTCATAGACTCTGAATACTAAATTAAATAATTACTGTTTAATTGCTCTATCTTTAGTAGTCTATGTAATTTTATTAGGAATTTGTCCTTTTATGCATTCAACTCCTGGAATAAACAAACATTTTAATGCTTATTTGTAGTACTGGCAATGACCAGTAACAATCCTCGTCATCATCTCAAAGTAGAATAAGGTTTCTCAAATTTAGTGGTCATGGAATTTTTAAATCACATAATTATAACATTTTTGACAGTAATATTGTATGTATGTATCTTTGAAATAAGTTATTACGGAAAACTCAATGATCTTCATTTCAGGTTTTAAATTGACTATTATTTTATGATAGTCTAGACCACCGATTACCAGATTATGTGTGCCAGTACACAAGCATTCTGCCCAATTGAACAACTCTAAGTAATTACTGCAGGCACTCTTATAGGCAGGAGGGATGAAACAGGGAAGAAAACCGATAATTATCTTTGCCATCATAAATCTGACAGTTAGTGTAGAAGATAGACAGTAAATAAGTTAAGTAAAATATATAGTGACAAATGCTAAAGAGAAAAATGCAAAAGCAAGGATAGGAAAAATATTAAGCAACAATAGCAAGTGGGAGGAATTGAATTTGTAATGATGGCCCCACAGAGAAGTCTTGGGAAGGGTATAAGTATCATGAGTAATGACCTGAAAATATGAGGGAGCACTGCTGTGTATTAGCTCTATAGCAAGTTACTTTACTTTTCTGTAACTCACCGTTCTCAACTCTAAAATCAAATAATAGTAGTAATGATAATCATATTAGACTAGAGTTTTCGATTATTTTTCTATAAAGCACTTATTAGGAAAGTGACTGACAAATCACAAACACTCTGTGAATATCTGTTCAAAAAAAAAAAAAAAGACAAAGCAACTATTATAGAAGTGAGTTCAGGCCATAGGGAGTATGTAAATACAAGCTCAGTTTTAAAAATGTAAACTCTAAGAAATCCATTAAGGTTTATGGAGATTTCAAATAAGCAACCTATAATTCAAGGGAAAAGCTCAGACTGAAGATTAATTGATGAATCCAAATCCTTCATATTTAAAACTGAAATAGTTAAGTGTTATTGTTATGTTTTTTGTAAAATGCTGTGTTTTTTTTTTCCTTAAACATATTTGTATAATGCTGAGTTAAAAAAAAACTCAAGTTTTCTGTTACTAGGTATCTCAGAACTGTTGTATATGCTACCATGTATCAGTCACCACAATAAAGCCCAATAGATTTCTTATCTTATTTTAATGGCATTTAGAAGTGTATTATACCATAAACACAGTTTAGAACACACTGAACGTGTCATGTTACTGCCTGGAAAATAATTTAAAGTGATTCTTACAAATCATCAAAACTTCAAAATTCATAAAAAACTCAAAATTTTACAAAATTGACTAGCTAGTTTCATGTTCACAAAGAGTTTTACATTCATAGAAAAGAGCTCAGCAAACTATAGATGTGGAACTTTGTCTCATGAACAGTGTGATAGTTTACTTCTTAGAAGTTTCCCCCCCAGATTATCTGCACATTGGAATCATCTGCGGAGCTTCAGAAACTACTGATTCCTCCATAAACTGTAATTTAAGTGGTTTGGGCTATGATCAGGTCATTGGCAGTTTTAAAATATCCCGAATCGATTCTCATATGCAGACACCCTTAAAAATCACTTCTGCTTAAAAGGACCTTTTTCTGACCCCATTTATTTTCTACCTCTTATCTATAATATTTAAAAAGACATTATTTCATTCTTTTAATTAAGAATCTTTATTTGACTAGCGAACAGGTTATTTATTCATCAAATGTTTATGTGCCTAGTGTCTGTTAACATATCTTTGTGATAGCATGGTGATAACACTAATTTTCAAGCAAATGAATAGTATAATGGAAATCTACTTTTAAAAGGTAAGCAGATACTTATGTTAAGTAAATTATTAATAAAATCTGAAACTAAATTATTAATAACATCTTTAACTGGCATAGTCTCTAAAAACATATGAGTCTTTAACCAAGATATAAAATGTTATTAGCTACTCCATCTGTTATATCAACTAGTACCATTTATAATTTCTTAGACTTTGGCTTTACAGAATAGCAGTGCAATTTAAGAGCCTCAGAACTTTTATGAGGAAACCAAGACTTCTTTGCGAACTGTATGAATTTGTTATAATCAATTGAATCAACAAGTATTTTTTGAGCATGTATCAGCACAGTATTAGGTATTGGAGATATACCGTAAAATAAAAATGCTCTACTTCTGTGAAGCTTATGGAGGGAGACTAATGGTAACAAGTAAAACAAATAAATAACATACTTTGAGAAACTGATGAATCCTGTAAAGAAAAATAGAGCAAGCCGAGGTAATAGGAAATGACAAAAGGCAATATGGGAAGGGGCAGTAGTTGATAGTGTGATCAGAGACCTCTCAGACTTCGAACACTTTGAAAAAATGGACAAAATGTGGGAAGATTGGCAGAGTGGTCTAACCTGTGAGAACAAACAAGTACGTTCTAGAAACTGAACAAATACTTGATGCATTTGAGAAGCAACAAAAGGCAAAGGTAGCAGAATGAAATGTAGAGAAAGCAGTAGATGAGGCCAGAGAAGCAGGCAAGAGCCAAATAATAAATGCCAGCATCACATAAGCCATAGTAAGTTTGCTTTTTTGTTTTCTTGTATTGTTTTGTTTTTTTCTAAGTGTTCTGAAACAATTAGAGGGTTTGTCTGGGAAGCACTGTTGTCTAATTTACATTTCCAGAGAGAATTTTTGGCTAATCCGTGAAGAGTAAATTATATGAAGGCAAGGCAAAAGTAGGAAAAATCAGAAAGCTGTAGCAGTGGTCCAGGCAAGAGTTGAAAGTGGAGCAGAGAGGCAGCAAGAAAGATGAAGTGAGCTCTGAGGCTGTGGACTTGCTCACTATCACACAAAAGGATTTGCTAATGGAGTTTACTCTTAGGTTACCTAACACATTCTGACAGGGAATCAAAAAGTTAGTTGGAAAGTTCCAAAGTCCTATAGTCAAGCTAGAATTAAAGCAGTAATTGATGATCTTTACAGAGAAATACTTTTAATAACTTTGGAAACCTGAGCTACCCTGTCTTCTCTTTAGTCTAGGGCTATGTCTTAAAAATCTCAAGGTGCATGGGTTCCTTGGGGAAGGAAATTCTATGCGGACTCAATCTGAGGGGGTGGGGGAAAGCAAATATTTTCTAAAAAAATGTAAAAAAAATGATAAATGTTAAAATAAAAAAAACCCTAAAAAAATTCTCAAAGAGCCAGAATCACTAAAATGATAGCTTTCAGTAAAACAATCTGTCTGATATGTGACAGATATAACAATTTAAGATTACCATTGTGATGAATAATTTGACCAGAGTTAATGTTTAGAACAGTGAGGATTCTTGTGTCACATAAGTTGGTTCATCACTATGTCTAGATGAATGATTTTTCTTCTTGCAGGGGTAGGGGTGAGATGGCACTCCTCATTATCATATTCTGTTATCTTCCCCCTATCTCCCCTGCATATTCCATTCTACTTTACCCCCACTCGCCTCTCTATTGATCAGAACCACTATAGCATCTCAAGGTGGCTGGGGAGGGGGGGCGGAACTGGGGTGGAGATAATTTGATTGGCACTTCCATCCTTATATATTGTATGTTGTAGGTGAACATAGTAATCATAGATTTTGGAGCAACAGGATAACAATTTTGTCACCTGGTTATGAGCTTGATGATTTGGAGCAACATATTTAATCTTAAGAATCTCCATATCCTCGTTTGTAAAATGTAGTGATTCCTAAGTTCAAGTGAGAGTAACTGAGATTATGAATGCATAGTACTAGGTCAAGCACCAAAATGTAGTAAATGTTCAATAAATTATAGCAATTATAATTACAACTACTTTTTCCTGTATATATTTCTATTCAGTTATTTTCATGTTTTAATATAATATTTTAAGAGCAAAGACATTCAAATCATAGTAACTGAATTTAAATCACAACTTTATTATGTGTAAGCTTTGAGATGATGGGTATATTTTTTTACCTCTATTTCATGTTGTCTTCTTATCCATTAATTGGCTTAGGTGCAGTGCAGTGATTGGATTATAGTGAGGATTTTAATGAAATATATTAAAAATATAAGTACATTATTTGGTACATAAAAGTACTATTTTATAAGTCAAATACTTTAAGTATTAGTTTGTCAATTCTTTATTTCAAAATTATAGTTAAAAACTAAAGGTTTGTGTTTAGCGTTTGCATTTTCATTCTTTGTAAATCATAATCTAAACTAAAAAGATTTTTTAAATGAGTAGTTGATTTATTCCATCAGTCCTAAAATAAAGGAGAATTTTAAATATTTAAATATTATCTGCTGAATTGATCCATGTGGGTAAGCATATTGGCATCATGACCTCAAAATGAAATTCAGTTATGTCAGTTGTCTCTCTAAGAAAGATGAAAAGAATCAGATAATTGTCAAATCTATTATTCTTTCGAATTGAGTGTTTACTGGTTTTTCCCTGATGTGGTTTTACCCTCATTTTTTTCTTCTCATTACTTTTGATATGTCTTATTTCCAAATGTATTTCTTTCAGTTCCTCACAGATAAAGGTTAATACTACCAATAAGTAAAAGCTACTGTTAAAAGTTGAATAGTTTAATTTTCAAATAGCATATGTGGGTTTTGTAATTATTTCTTAATATTATTTCTAATACTATTATTCTCAGTACTATTCCCAAATTGTTAGCCTTTAGCATATAACTGATTATTCAAGAGAAAAGCTATGGTACTGATGGTATAGTGATTTATTATTGTATATTAATTATGCTGGTGACATCATTGTTGGCATTAATCCAGTAATACACGAAGCTCATTATATGAACTATACCTTGTTTTATTAGTGGGGCTTTCTTTCCTTTTATAGCTGGCTTAAGTCCTGCTGAGATTCAGCAGTTATGGAAAGAAGTTACTGGAGTTCACAGTATGGAAGACAATGGCATTAAACATGGAGGACTAGATCTCACTACTAACAATTCCTCCTCGACTACCTCCTCCACCACTTCCAAAGCATCACCACCAATAACCCATCATTCCATAGTGAATGGACAGTCTTCAGTCCTAAATGCAAGGCGAGACAGGTAAATCTCATGAGATTTATTCTATCTTTATCATAGCCAAATGTTACTTTCACCACTGATAAAACTGAAAACAATGATTTGTATGTAACAGGGGCAAATGTGTAGAGGAAAAATTAAACTGGAACTTTTGATTATAATATATACGATATGATATATACACATATAAATATACATATTACAAGAATCTATTTTGATGTACATAATTAATTTTCCTGAAGAAAGTTGTGTTTTAGTAAATGTATGTGGAATCAATTTCAGTATATTTTTATGACTAAGATTTTGCAATTAACTTGTTGCTGTGAGAATATTTGGGCATTTGTTAACCTCAGGACCAGTTTGAATAGTTAAAGGTGTATACATATCCCCCTTATTATGTGTTTCAAACATGTACTTTGAAACCAGAGAATAGATAAACATATAAACATGAGCATCATAAACCAGTAGACAGACGATCTGGTTTGCCTTTTATGTAATGTGACATAGTGTAATTTATCGGTATATAAAATTAAGTTTTGGTAGTGACTTTCTATATAAGTCTGAGTCAAATTCACAAAGAAATTTTTTTACTTCATTTACCAAAAGTGAGTACATTATGTGTATAATTGTCAACCAATGTTTTATTTTATTTATATAAAAACTGCCTTTATAAAAGGAGTACCCATGTATGTCCATTTACTCCTTTTATTCAGGCTTATGACTACTTAATCATATTCCTTAAAGTAATGTACATGAAATGTATAGATTAAAGTATTACTCAACACCAACAAAAATCTTTTTTAAAGATTAAATATAAGCGTAGAAATTCTTGGAGTGACTCAGGTCCTTATGATGTATAGCTCTAAGCTTTGTATTAAGTATAGTAGATTGGAAATATTCTGTTACGTGATTTGAATAGCTGCCTAGATGCAACAAACTCTTTCTCACAGGCAAATATTTTTCAAAGAAATATGTTTAATTGCATTACAGTTTAAAATAGAGTGCTCTTTGTGATCCTTCTGGTCTTCATTTGAATGTTATGAAAAAAAATTTGTTAGCTTCTTTATTATAAAAAGGTATGCCTCTCACTGGGGTTTTGATTGAGATTCAATTGATTATATATTTCATAAGTTGGTTGTCTTCTCTAAGGTCTCCCTGTCTGGTAGAATACTCATTTATCAAAAGTCTGATAATTGTGGAAATATATAGTTAATGATTTCTGTTAAATCAGCCAAAACAGTGAAAATATATATGGTTCACACATAAATCTTCCAAAAGGTCCATATCTTCTTTAATAAGATTGAAATAGCTTATAGTTATGGTCCTATTACTTTATTTTAAAAAGAGGGGTTTTTTCACTTGAATACATATGAATGTATATTTTTTTATTTAGAGGTAAATGTTACATTAAGGTCATAAGGCAGGATTAGCATATGATATTATACAGTCCTCTTAGTTTTTCATCCTTTATTAACAGTCATCTTTGGCTCTATTTCTCCTCTAATTGGAACATCATCTAGCCTTGGCAGTTGAACTATTCAATAGAACGATTAAATTTTTCTGACTGCTCTGAGCTGAATTGACCTGTTTTGACCTGTTTGTCACTGATCGTAACCTGACAGGCACTAGCAGCCTGCAACGATTATGGCTTTTTGAGATGAATCTGACGCCGAGTTCTTTTGCTACTTTTGCTACAGCTCGTCACATGAGGAGACTGGGGCCTCTCACACTCTCTATGGCCATGGAGTTTGCAAATGGCCAGGCTGTGAAAGCATTTGTGAAGATTTTGGACAGTTTTTAAAGTAGGTTTTTTACATTTTGGGTTATATGGGAGTTTTGGTATGTGTAAATAAAAGAAAGCTGGAGGAGAAAAAAGGTCTCTCATAAGTCACACTTAAGTTTTCTGTGTTTCAACAAGTGGGTTAGCAAAGTCATGCTAAGGAGGTTAACTCTTCATCTTTACATTTTCATAAGATCTTATAAAACTTCTAGTAAAGGGTTTTTTATGAGTGAAAAGTATTACCCTACAATTTAGTGTCATTAATAACTTATTGGTAGCATTCACTTAAATTGCAAGATTTTAACAAAAAATTCAAGTAAAATTATGTAAGAAGTCACATATATTTTTAAACACACATTTTTCATGTCATTTTTAATTGTGAACTTTATAAGTATAAATATTTAATATGTATCTTTAATACCAAGAAATTTAAAAAATCAAAGCTAATAGTTGCTAAATTTTTAATAAATAATTACTTCTTCAGAATCACAAAGATACACTTATAGGCATATGTTCGTATGATAGGTCGCATGGCTTCTCTAGATTAAAAATAAAAACTTTCTCTAGATTAAAAAAATAAAAATAAATTATCTTTAATTTCTTCATACAGTAATAACTTTTTTTTTAATTCTTAAAAGGGCTCTTTTTCAAATAGGAACATATATCTTTCATGAAATATTTTCCATTCACAATTTCAATATACAAGAGATCTAAACAGAAGGCTACAAATAGGGTTTATGGAGATGAGTAACTTCACAGACTGAGACTCTTATGTTGTCATGGAGCAGCTAACAGGGTGAATGAACTGTTTCATGCTTCATCAACAATTAAGTTAATTAGCTCATTTGAAATTGCACTGCTTTGTTGCCAGGATGTTGGCAGAAACATCAAAAAGATGTGTTTACAAATGATAGACTACAGGGTATAGAGCAAAAGCACCTCAACAACAAGGCACAAGTACTTGGCATCATAATAACTTTATAGCTGAATTACAGTAAGACTTCCACAAGGATTTTTTACCTTTTCTCCTTTCTGACCATTTAAAAGAAAATTTGGTTCATATTCTAACTGTGGCCTTTGCAAATGGTCTTAAATGAAAATTAACAGCCCTATGATAGCAAAACAGTTATCAGGTACTATTTTGGAGGGTATAAAATTGATTACACTGTTCTAAACAAAGAGAGCATTTAAAATGTTAAGTAACTTTGTTAAAGTTTTCTTGCTAAGCACAATAATACGTTAAAACAAAGAATATAGGAAGGTCAAACAATTCTTTTAATCACTACAAAATTCTTCATTATCAATATGTTATATTATTACTTATCTTTAAGATCATTTAGAAGATTATTGTGGATATTTCTAAAGCATGGTCATTTAAGCTTTAAGGCTAGACCAGTCACCCTACATTTTATTGCTCTAAGTTGTACTTTCTGACAAAATTCAAAATATGTGTTAAAGAAAATACATTTATCTCTTCTTCAATATAATTTCCTCTGCAGCACATAGAAAGGAGAATTTGTATTCATTTCAAATATTTCTGTATTTTTATTACTAACAAGCAATTGAATTTGAACCCTCATATTACCCTCCATAGTTCTTTTTCATATTCATGCCAGTGTTTTTTAAAAACTGAAGAAATTACAATTAAAAAAGCATTTCCTTTCAATTAAATATCAACTTTGGCTCCAAAGACTGACCACTTTTCCAACCCATTAACTTTATAGGGATGACAGAAATAATGACAGTATATTTTAAGGCCTTTCTTTCAGTCCATTTTTGTTATGATATGCTTTATATTCTCTAACTCAAAGATCTGTGATAAATTCTGTTAGGACAGCTAATGCCAGTATAATGTACTAAAGTAAAATATATTACAAACATTTCCATACTAGCATTGCCTTTCTTAAAATGTATGGGAAATTTGAAGAGAAGTAAAACATTGTATAAAATTAATTCATTTTGGTTGGTCAGGGGAAAAAAAGTTTATTTAGTCTCTGCATGGAAAGTGAAATGAAAATGGGCATCCGCACTTCCACAAATTTTCTTGGAAAGAAGACTTTGCTTTCCTTTTGAAATTATGAAGTAGAACTGAGAATCTTTGGGAGTGGGGTGAAGTGTGTAATATATGACAATTGAAAAAGCTATGAAAGGTTTTTAGCTCTCAGTTTTCTTGTTTATCCATTTCCTGAAATTTTATATCCAATTTTTTGAGACAATATTGTGGCATTTTTATTTGTAAAATGCATTAGAAATAAATTATATATAACTTCAACTTTATTTTGGTATCAAATAACTTGTACTTTGGTTTCAAATTTAGCCAATATATATGTTAAACAAAAAAGGATAGTTGAAAATACATTGTGTCCCAAATTCCCTTTCTCGTATTACATCCTGAAACAAACTGATAGAATTCTTCTCTTTTGCCCTACACCAAATGAAAAGCCACCAGAAGACAGTTGTTTATGTACAACAGATATATATATATATTCTTATTCTTATTTATGTATTTGTTACTATTCAATTGTGGTATTCTTTTCTGTTGAATTAAAAAAAAATAAGACTAAGAAACTGTTAATTGCAATAGCAGAGAGAAAAACAGAAAAATAAAAGATGATGAAGAAAGTCCAAACTAAACTGATGTTTAGGACAATTTTTGAGTTTTACTGTAAGTAGGTGTTGAGAGAAGCTAATCATTCTTCTAACCACTAATTGAGGATCTCCCTAGATCACTAAAAGCATTTAATACTATTTCTTTGTTACTAGCTCATCAATGTCAAAGTAGTTTTTCTGCAAAATCAATGATCATTCCTTTGGACCTAGGTCAGGGCATAAATGTAAATGGACTGACTTTAGAG